AAATTTCTTTTATATTTACATAATCTATTGAAAATATGTGATCTGTATTGCAACGATTATTTATATCAATATTTTCATTTTGTTCCTCACTAATAGAGTCATCAATATCGTTTGTACTTTGAAATGATAAATAGATTTATCAGAATTAAATTTTATAAAGACGTGTAAAAGAAGACATTTATTCAAATTGGCATATCGGTATGCGCATAGCTTGGTATAATGCATGCATGCATGTTTGCCTATTTTTATGTTTTCTAGGTTATGCCCGACTTTTAGTTTGAGTGAATTTTAATAACGTTTTGATTTATAACGTAAATCAGTACTTACAGTTCCTTTTTGTGCAAAAAACTGAGCAACTTTCTCTGTAAAATTATTCAACTGTTCTGCGGGGACAAAATTTATAATACGTTCCGCGTGTCGGTCAACAACACAGCAATATCGTCGAATGGCTTATCTAGGAAGAATCGACGATGCATAATAAAAATCTTATAGGATGATATGCATAAAAAAAACACTCTTACCTTCAAAATTTTCAATTAAATCACTGTAGCCGATAGCTTGCAAAACGCCTGATAAAATAGATCGATCAGCCATGATAACTGCATACCAAATACCAAACCAACTTACACTTTTAAGGAACGTAAACAAACCGGTATGTTGCCGGCTTCCCGCGCGTGACGTGACCCGCATGCGCGATACATGAAATGATGGTGTTATTTGTTTACTGATGATGTAAACTTTTATAGTTAACGATGTTTTCCAAAAAATTGGAAATTAATTGCAATTAATAATCAACAGCGACGTTCATAAGTTATAGTCCAACAAATAATTTATAAATTATAATTTAATACATAATTTCCAATATTTACAATGATTTATATATACCGCCCAGTGAAAAAAATATCATTTCAAGGTCATATGGTTATTTGAATGAAAGAAATTTTCTTTTCAATGGAATACTCATTTGTTCCAATGAAGTATTTTTTAATTTAATAGGGGAACTAAATAAATTAGTAGACTACTTGTCAATACTATCAATACTTGCGATTGGTTTGAATATAAAATTCAATTGTTGCGAAGGATTTTTCAGATTCAATTTATATACTTTGTGTCAATTGCTTCATAATACATAAACATTAACAAATCAACTAAAATTTTTGTCACATCAACGAATGATAGTTTGTCTCAACATATCGCCTTTTGTTACAATAGAATTTCCATTCATCCAATGGTGCTTATTTGATGTTTAGAATTGATTTTCGGGATCCTATCAACTATACTTATAGGAATTATTTCAATATGGTAATATAGAAAATCAACTAAAGTGCTTGTTCTTTCAAACAATACGATTTTGTTTCAATATTGTATCGATTATTTCAATAAAATATCAGTTCTTTCAATGGTACTGGCGCAGTTGACTATATTTTTGGAGATGGATTCGGCGGAAATAATAATGTGTAGGCTGGAGGCTGAGAAAATACGTTAATATTTATTAATCTTAAACCTACACGCAATATTTGGCTACAATTTGGTGAGCAAGCTCGAGACATGTGCGCGCGCTCGAGACCTTGTCGTATTGTACAAGAGAGAGGAAGTTCCGTGGCGTCAACGACTGCTTGCGCCGGTGCTGCCGCGGAGCGGAGACGACGCGTGGCGACTCGGCCTCCACAGCTATCCCCCCTTTAGAGACCTTCGTGTCTAAGGACGGAGGGAACGATACCCTTTTGCGGAGAATGGACGGGATGGCTTTGGACGGAGCGGGGTGCTGTGGCGCCGGTTCAGCTGGAGGTTGCAGCGTCTGTCTCTCTGGAGGAAACGGCGAGGTGTTGTCGTTGGACCGTGCCGCCGTGTCCGAGGTGTCTGGAACTTGCGGCTGCAACGGCGTCGCAGGGGGATGAGGGTCGCTGGCTGTTGGAGCGTTTTGAGCCTCTGGTGGTGTGAGTGCCCGCTCCTGCGAGGGTACCTGCGGCGACTCCTGCGGTGACTCCGCAGGCGCGGCGAAGTAGGCTGGCTTGAGTGCGTCAATTGAGACGGTCTTTTCCAGACCGTTTACCTTGATGACGTACCGCTTCTCATCCACGCGGCGTATGACTTGGTGAGGGCCGCTATAAGGTGGCTGCCGTGGCTTGCGGACAGCGTCGATTCTCTGGTAGACGTGGGTGCAGGAGTCGAGGTCTTTGAATTGGAAGATGCGGTATGTAGCGTGGTTGGCTGCTGGGACGGGACGCAAGGCTTCCATCAAGGATTTGAGGCGCTTTACGAACTCCGGGGCCTTGGCTGGCGCACTCTGGGCGACGAAAAATTCTCCTGGGAGCCGGAGGCTCGTGCCGTATATCATCTCTGCGGGTGAGGCTTCCAAGTCCTCCTTGAAAGCGTTGCGAAGTCCCAGCATGACGATGGGCAGCCTGGCTGGCCACGGGAAATCCTCTTGGCACATGAGCGCGGCTTTCAGCGTGCGGTAGAGGCGCTCGACCAATCCGTTGGCCTGTGGGTAATATGGTGTCGTGTGGACGTGTCGCGTGCCTGTGAGGCGGGCTAGAGCCTCGAAAAGTGCTGACTCGAATTGGATGCCCTGGTCCGATGTCAATGTGAGGGGGCAGCCGTAGTGCGCGATCCAGTGCTCGACGAGTGCTGTGGCTACCGTCTCGGCTGTCATGTTGGGCAGGGGCACTGCGACCGGCCATCTGCTGAATCGGTCGACGATGGTGAGGCAGTGGCGCAGTCCGTTGACCGGTGGAAGCGTGAGGTCGAGGTGCACGTGGTCGAAATGATTGCCTGTTGCACTGAAAGCTCCGAGCGCCGCGCATTGTGTCTGCTGACCTTTGCGCGTTGACATGGATCGCAAGCTCGTGCCCAACTGTAGGCGTCCTTCCTCACGTGCGGCCAGATGAATTTGGCTGCGATCGCCCGTGCCGTTGCTCGTGGGCTGGGATGTGCAGGCAAGTGGTGCACGTTGAAAGCCTGGCGTCTGAGCGGAGCGGGCAGATACGGCTTGACCGTGCCCTCTGTGACGTTGCACGCCACACTAGCGCCTTCGATGTGGAGCACCTGCAAATCGAGAGCGCCACTCTCGAGGAGATGTGGGAGGTCGCTGTCAAGCTGCTGGGCCTTCTCGATGTCTTGAGCGCGCAGGCCGGATGGCATGCTGATCGTGCAGACGCGGGACAGAGTGTCGGCCACAACATTGTCCTCTCCCTTGATGTGCTGGAAGGTGACATTGAACTGCAGGATGAAGTCAAGGTGTCTTTGTTGCCTGGGCGAGGCCTTGTGCGATGACTGGCAGCTCGCGTAGATGAGGGGCTTGTGATCGGTCCTGAGCACGAAAGTCCTGGCCTCCAGAAAGCTCTGAAAATGCTTGACTACTTCAAAGGCTGCCAAGAGCTCCCTGTCGTAGGTGCTATAATTTTTCTCCGTGCTGGTCAGCTTTCTGGAGAAAAAGGCCACTGGGTAGTGCCTCCCACCAATGATCTGCTCGAGGGCTGCGCCGACTGCCGTATCCGAAGCGTCTGTTGACAGACGAGTGAAGTGTCCGGTGCGAGGAAAGAGCTGCTGGTGGCGTCTCGCAGCGCTCGCTTGCATGCGAGGAGAGCTTCAACCTGGGCTGCGGACCAGCCCTTCAGCTTGGCCTTCTTTTGTTTGGGCGCGCCTCGAAGTAGGTTGTCAAGCGGCACCTGGAGTAGCGCTGCGTTGGGCACGCAGTGGCGGTAGTAGTTTACCGCGCCTAGGAAGCTGCGGAGCTCCTGGAACGTTTGGGGGGTTGGAATGCGGTTGATCGCTTCGACCTTGTGCGGTGGAGGGCTTGAACCCATCCTTGCTGATAGTGAAACCTAGAAAAGTGGCTTCCTGCTGGGCGATTTGGCACTTGTCCAGATTAATGCATAGTCCCGCTTCAAGCAGCACCTGAAACAGCTGGCGTAGGTGGTCTAGGTGTTCCTCGTGGGTCTTGGAGCGGACGATGATATCGTCCATGTAGGGTCGGCAGAAAGGCAAGCGGCGAAGCAACGAATCCATAAGACGTTGGAGAGTTTGCGTTGCGTTGCGCAGGCCGAGCGGCAGGACCAGGAACTCGTACAGGCCGAAGGGCGTGATGATGGCCGTTTTGGCGATGTCCTCCTCTGCCATGGGTACCTGGTAGAAAACTCGTCGGAGGTCGATCACTGAGAACACGACGCCTCCGTGACAGTCGTGGAGGAGGTGTTCGATGACCGGCAGCGAGTAGCGATCGGGTTCCGTGATTGCGTTGAGGCGGCGGTAGTCACCTGTGATCCGGAGTTTGCTGCTGCCGTCGCGCTTGTTCACCAGGTGCAGAGAGCTGGCCCATTGGCTGGATGAGGGCCGAATGATACCGGCGTCCAGGAGCTTCTGTATGGCCAGCTTGGCCTGCTGCAGCCGAGCGCCGTGCAAAGGCCGCGCACGATCGTGCACCGGTGGTGCCGTCGTGCGTATGAAGTGCGTGACTGGAGCACCGTTGAGAGCGACCCTGCGGTGGCTGGGCTTTGCGAGGTCGGCGAACTCCACCAACAGCGTGTCGAACGCGCTCCTGGTCGCCCAGTCACCGGCTGGATCGTGTAGGATGGCCACGGAGTGCTGGACTGCTGCCGCAGCTTGGCCCCGGGCGCTGAGTGACGTGGTCGAGTCTGTGAGCCGCTCGTTCTTGACGTCCACCAGAAGACCTGCGTGGGCTAGCAGGTCGGCGCCGATGATGGGACCTGGGACGTCGGCGATGACGAAAGGCCACTTGCAATCTCGACGGAGGCCCAGGTCGAGGGAGCGCATGGTGCGCCCGTACGTGGCGATGGGCGTGGAGTTGGCAGCTACCAGGGTGAGGGGCTGTTTGAGCAGCGCCCGTGTGCTGTCCTTGACTGCCGAACGGGATAGCAAGGAGACGACGGATCCTGAGTCCACGAGGTAGGTTAATCCGTTGGACCTATCTCGCACATGTAGGCGGTTCTCATGGAGTGATTCGCTGCCGTGTGCCGCCGATACTGCCGGCAGCGTGGCTAGTTTTTTTGGAAAGTGCAGGAGCTGGTGCACTTGACCGCTTCGGCCCCGAAGCGCTGGTGGTAATAACAGTACCCACTCTGGGACGCTGGGGACTGGCCTCGGCTGCTGGGACCTCCTCGGCTGCGGCTACGACCTCGTCCACTGTTGGGCCGCTGTGCTATTGCATCCAGGACCAGCTTGGTTGTTGCAAGCAGCTGCGTCATGACAGCCGTGATGTTGGCCATCTCCTTGGCCAAGCTGGAGTCCGAGCGGTGTGGTGAGTTGTTGCGTGAGCTCGACGGGTGGAGTGCGGCCACGGAGAGTGACGTCGTCGTTGCCGCGGCTTGTGAGACCGGCACGAGGTCGAACATGCGGTCAGCCGCCTTGGCGATCTCGTCCAAGGTGGTGCCATCTAGTACGCTCAACACGGCAAGGGAGCTCCCGGGCAGAAGGTCGAGCCACTTGACCTTGAGAGCGCTGTCGGCCATGTTCGCCCCCGCGAGCGTGCGCATCTCCCAGAGGAGCTGAGAGGGTTTCTTACCCGCTGTGTTGATGCCGCTGAACAGCATGCGCAGCCGTTCGTCGGTCGTCTTTGCGAAGCGTTCGACGATCCTCGCCTTGATGAGGGCGTACTTGCCATCCGTGGGCGGGTTGCTGGTGACGTCAAGCAGCTCCTTGAGGACGTCGGGCTTGAGCGCAGCCACGACGAGGTTGTAGCGCCTCGAGTCGTCCTGCACGTTGTAGCAGTCGAAGAGCGATTCGACCTGGACGAACCAGGTTTCCGGCGAGAAATCCCAGAAATCGGGTAGCTTGCAGCGATTCGTCATGGCCTGGTTGCTGGCCAGGATCTGCTGCTGTTGGACCTGGAGCTGTCTGAGCTGGTCCGTCAGCGTCTGTGTATCGAGCACGGCTTGATTTCCCGGGGGTGGCGTGCCCACCATGTTGCACTTTTTTTTTCTTTGTTCGGAATATAATCGCACTTCACCTCACTCGCGGTTGCCGCGCGATTTTCGAGTTGCCTTGCGAAAGCGCGTGTCATGGGCCGATTGCAGATTTCGGCTCCACGAAGAGTCACTCCTGGTCGCGGCAAGCTTTTTGAGCGCCGTGTTATGCCCGCGGCTTGAGGACGTGACAGACTTCCGGCACGAGGCGTAGAAAACGCCACACGGGGCAGCGGTAAGCGTGATGGGGGCGGCGGCGTGGTGATTCGCTCGACCGCGTGGCGACAAAAAAAGATCCGCCCGAATCACGTCGGGGTCACCACTTTGGAGATGGATTCGGCGGAAATAATAATGTGTAGGCTGGAGGCTGAGAAAATACGTTAATATTTATTAATCTTAAACCTACACGCAATATTTGGCTACAATTTGGTGAGCAAGCTCGAGACATGTGCGCGCGCTCGAGACCTTGTCGTATTGTACAAGAGAGAGGAAGTTCCGTGGCGTCAACGACTGCTTGCGCCGGTGCTGCCGCGGAGCGGAGACGACGCGTGGGGACTCGGCCTCCACATATTTAACTGCGCGGCACAGTTGATTTGACTACTTTTTTTTCTTAGTGTAGAAGACTTACTTTGTACTTTATAAATAAATTTAGAGAGAGTAAAATATTATAGAATGAAAATCTATGTCTTGTGTCCTTTATTTTCAATCAACATTTATCAACAAGTCTCGAATTTGAGAATGTAGGTTAAATATTAACAAACTATCAGTACAGTAAATAGTGCTTCATGTTTCATAGAATCTTATAGAAAGTTTTGTTCGATTCTTAATATTCTTACACTAATGATTAATTTAATTAGCGCGTTTGGGGAATTATCGTTTTCATACTCCCACAAGCCACGCAATGGGCCCGTGTCCGAGCGCCGTGTCACAAATTATTTTAAAGGGGAAGGTATGGGAGGCTCTTTCGCTCCACTGTAGCAGTGACGATGGGCCTTGTCACGAAATTGGCGTGTTGGGTGTTAAATCGAAAGGAAGGGAATAACGGGCGAACACAATGAATATTCTCAATAACCTTTAACTATATCGTATTTATTCTCAAAACGTTTCACAATTAAAGAGAGGCGACGCGGATTTACGCGTCGTCCTTTGCGGCAGCGTGCCTTCGCTCGTGCCGACAAATGCACGGGGGCACGGTACAATAAGTTGAGAGGAACTTAAAGGAGGGTCTCGCCGTTCTCGCCTTTTTTCGCTGTGCTTGCAGATGATCGCGAGCACCTCGCCGACGCGTCGCGCACTCGCGAACAGAGAGAGATAGAGAGAGAGAGGGAGAGAGAGAGAGACGATCTGACCTGATGAAGGCTGCTGGCAGGAAAGCCAGGCTAGTAGTGCAGGCAGGTTGACGGCAGGCTCAGATGAAGTCCTATGAGCCTTGGGTGTCACTGGGAATTCTCTCCTGGCCGCAATCTACTTGGCGTTGTATCGCTTCTTTGTCTCTCTGCTATACTATTCGGATTTTATAGCGCGCACGCTCTCGGCCGTCACAGTTGATCTTTCTTCCTCAAGATCTCGGCTCGAACACTCTACCCAACCGCTCGCTTACTCGCTACGCGTGACGCATCAATCTCTCTTTCTTCTTTTTGCCGCAGTTGTTCTCGCTACTAATTGGCTCCTAATGACGATGCCCGGCACAGGTATTTCCCCTGAAATAAAGTGGTGCGAGCATCGGTATCGGTTCTTGATTTCCACTACGCTCGCTAAGGCAACAGCGAAGAAGCGAGCTGCGCGCGAGAGAGAGAGAGAGAGAGAGCCAGACAGGGCCGGCCATTCCGGCTAGGGTCCCGTCACAACACAATCACAAATCACAATGGTCATTGAATTTAAATTGTAATGAAAATTAGCATAATGTTGTGTTTCAAAAGATCAGCGTAAAATAACTAGATGATACAAATTCAAAATTATGAATCGATTTAACAAATGTTTAAAAGTGTGGCGTATGTAGCGCAAGTCGTACGTTATTGTCGCTACCTGCGCCATGCAAACACATGCATCAATGAAAATTTGTTATATCGAAGTTCATATTTACACTCCCTCCCACTTACGCATAACTAGTTGCTGTATAATATTTTTTTTGTGCTATAATGTAGAAAACTACGAAAGTGACAATGAGAGTGACGACGACTTCAGCGACACGAGCAACATTTTAAGTAACGAAGTCGAGCAAAAAAGCCAGAAACCTAATGAGAAATTATTCCCTGGATCTCCGATTATTGTATTGGCCTTTGTAACGTGTTTAGCTGCCATCAAACTACGCCACGGTTTAAGTAAAGTTTGCATAGATGACATTCTTAAATTAATTGCAATATGTTGCATCGTGCCACACAGCTGTCCAATGACATATTATAAATTAGAACAACATTTTACCAGTCAACAAACACATTTTAATAAGCATTATTATTCTCAAAACTGTCAAGCACCGCTGAATAGCATAGATAATAACGTTGATAACGATGAGTCAATAAAAAACGATGTAATTTTCCAAATGGATGAGTAGGTAAACTAGAGAGACCTTAGCTCACTGACAAGGGAACATTCCCAACCGTCCACCTTCAATTTTGTTGCAATTGAAATATGTTTTACTTTATAAAAAATAAGACACATATTTTTTTTATCCACGGAATAAGCTATCTGTTTTCACAACCACCCTCAAAAGTCACCCCTAAAAACAGTTAAACAGCAGTAACTTTGGTTATAATGAATCTTTTTTGACGAAACAAAATTGAAAAAATTTCTTACTAAAAAATAACAAAACCGTATAGTTTTAGACTCGAGGGGTTGCAACCCCTACAACGTACATGGGAAAAACTACATTTTTGAGTGGATTTTTCGTGTACAGAATTACAAAATTATCATTAAAAAATTGAAAAATAAATTTTTATCTAGGAAATGATAAAATAAAATTGACGTGTTTTAGTTTTTTCATTTTTATGTATTTCGAGGGTGAACTACCCCTAAACCCTATTAATACTATGTGAATAGTTGCCGATCACTAATTTTGCTGATTTTTCATATGCTATAACGTTTAAAAGTGGGCTAGACAATGACACTGTTAGTCTGTAGGAAAATCAATGTGAGGGCTGAAGACCACCCTCATAAATTACCTCTAAAATACTATTACAGCAATATCTTCGGTTTATATCAATATTTTTCGACAACAACTGCTATTATAATTTGTTGTAACGGTAAACGTCTTATTAGCGCGAACAGCCCAACCCAACCATGCGGCTGCCGGCGAGGACAGCACCTGCCAGTTGGGGCGAAATGTATTGAGGGAATTCGGCACGAGACGAGACGGAACGCGCGCGTATGAAAACGAACCAGTGGAGGACTAACTACCGATACGTCTAGCCGTAATTTCGAGGATTGGTATCCGATCGTAGAGGAGTGCAAGAGGTTGTTGTTGTTCCCGAGCTGTCCTGAGTGTCGAGACGAGCTGACCTGAGCGCGCAGGAGCTGAGCTATCTCTCATTGGGTATAAGTGTGTGCAAGTGTACTTGAGTGAGGGGTTTCGCCATCGAGGGCGAAACCGTGCATGCGAGTTTTCGAACAGCAAACAAAAAAACTATAGACTTTGCCAGAACTCGATAGTGTGCTGCGTTCTCTCTTGCTGCTGTACGACCGTTATTAAGGTAAGCTGGCCAGCTTAATTTCGCGATCGCGATAGAATTGCTAATATTTAATCTCTCGTATTCGACAAGAAATGCGCATGTAATAGCTCTGCGAACAATGAGCGGCGAGCGATCCGACACTGCATGTTGTTGTTGTGCGCGCGTCTTGTAAACATAAACAGGCGGGTCTAATACATTGTATAGTTTAGAGGAAATAAATAATCCCGTATGTGATATTAACAGTATTTTCGACGTATTTATTTCACGTTAGTAGATAGTTGGTTGACTGACGCCCGTTCCCTCCTGCTCTCCGGTCTTCGTGTTTGAACATTCAGGTAATCACGCGCGCTTTTCTATACGATCACGCGCTTAAAATAAAAAGGCGGTATTAATCCCGTTACATTGTATAATAATTATCGAAAAAATGTTTCGAACATAAAGATTTTTGCACTACGAACATCGAATAGCGATATTGGAACATGTTTTAATTTCGTAATAAACGTTATATTGTGATCTAAATGCAAAATCTACTGGATTTTCAAGCTTTTCAGGATGTATATCCGTGTAGCTACTTTTGTACCATGAATATTTAAATATATTTACGTATCTCAAAGACGATAAGTGATTATGTACTAAAGATTGAAGTTTATTAATGTTATTTATTAAATGAAGATTCAATTCTTCATTCATTAATATTACGCTGTCTGAAAAATCTCTTACATAATTCTTCCGAACTCTGAAGCCAAATACATCCAATGGTTGTATTTTAAATTCCGTTTGGAATAATTTTTAAAGTTATTTCTTTATTAGTGGGCTTTACATCTTATACCGCCGAAGGACAGTGACCACTCCATAAGTTAAATTAGTACGCTTGATGAATCAATACGTGGAAAGTACACTTCTTTAAGCCATGTTTAAAATTATCTAAATTTAAAAAAATTTCAAATGTTCAAAATATTAATTAAAAATTAAAACAAATAAAATCATAAAAACTGCATTTGGTCACAATTTTTCGAATACATTTCATATGAAAAAAATACCTGAAGTTAATTTTCCAGACTTTGAAAACATTACTTGCACGTTAACTGGTTTGAATAAATATTGTGATAAAATAGGTCCAAATTCGCCGATTTTTTCTTTAAGAACAATAAAAAGAGAGGAAAGAAGTCCACCGTCTCCAGAAATTGTTGGTTGAATCATATGACTATGGCTTGTGGAAGCTACAGATTGAACTAAACATTCTATTTTTCTTTCACCTTCAATTGCCAAAGTACGGCCTGAATGTAATTCTAACTGAAAGCCGCTTTGTTTGGAATTATATTAAATATTCATTTT